CGGCGGATGAAGGGAAGATACTTTGTGAAGGGCAACAAGGATGAGAAAGTTCCCAAAAAGTGCCACGAGCGAGATGACAATGTGAACTGCCGTGAAATAAATTGATTGTTGTTGCAATCCACCTGCCAATGATGGCGAGCAAATTAGGTCTTCAAATGTTTTTCTTTGCCTTTCAAATACTGTTAAATTTGTGGTCGACATCATCAGTATATACTTTTCTCTGGATGTAACAGAGATATTTCGCCTTCACGACAACTTCACATCCACTGTGGCTTAAATCTCATCTTTTAATAATGCATATATATACTCAAGCGTTTAAACAGCATCATTTACCCAATCTGAAAGGCGAAAACGATCACAAGAGTCTTTTGTGTCACAGAACAAATTAAAATTTCCCCATAGGTCGACATGTGTAATTTGCATTAGTAACCATCCTAGAAGGGAATCAGTTGTTCAGCGACAAGAAATCCTACGACAATTTATTCTGCCGTTATACCCTGAAAGGTCTCAAGATAGATCCAAGGGTGGAAATGTTGTTCAAAAGATCATAAATAATTCAAATATTCCTCCCATGGGAGACATTTTGTGAGCAAATTATTTCTTGTTTTAAGGTGTAATTTTGCTACTGAACAATGCTGTTTGTCTTAGTTACCTGTTTATCAAATTTGTAAACCACATATTGGATATGGCATCGTATAAAAGGGACAAATTTATACCCCCTGTGACAATTGTTTCAAAACATGTGGTGGAAAAAAAATCAGTGTATGACTAAGTAAAACGTTCACTGAAAGCTATTGACAGATTACGAAGTGCTTATGCCAACGCTGTGATCTCGGCGCTTGTCAGAATTATGATTAAATGCATGCGGCAAGCTGAAAAACAAAAAGGTTGCAGCGCAGATGTGTCTCGGTCAGGAAGCAGTTTGAAGACTTCGTTTGAATGAATCTATTGTCACCAGCACCATGTTATTTAAGCCAAGGTTTTGTTTTGTTTTGTTTTTTTTTTAACTATCACAGTAGCGTTTATTCTACAATACGGTCTCGCTACGGAATAAAATATTCAATCATTTCATAAGTGTAAGGCATAAAGCTACAAATATTGTTTGCTTTATAAACTATTAAGGTAAATAAATCTTTTTTGTTGAGTCATTATTTGATTGCAAAACATTACCGTGGTAACGATTAAAGTGTGTACGACAGGTAATTCCTTTTTCGTAATAAGTGGCTCCACTACTGACTCGAAGAAAATATATGTGGTAGTGACTTGTATCTTGCATCACAGCTTTATTATTATTATTATTATTATTATCATTTTATTTTTGGACAGCTTACTGAGTGATAACATAGCCTGTTCGAGGCGTTCATATTGTAAAACGAAGTGCACAGTAAACGGTACGATAGTCACAGCGGAGCCGAAAAGAAAAAGTGAGGCTTGGGTCGAGTCGAGTAAAGAACGGCGTTCACCCGACCCGACCCAACCCGATCCGACCCAACCCCATTCTTCCCCGTTTTTTCACTCTATCGCTGCTATCGTGCAGTGTACCATTTGCTCCGTTTTACTAAATAAACGCCTAGAAAAGGTTAGTGATAACAACAGCAACTAAATATGAGTTCTGCTTAATGGCCTGGGACATCCTTCATCATTTCATCACATTCTGTTCAAAGATCAGGTTCAGCTTGGCTTGCCTGGCTTAGCTCATGACTCAGCAAGACAAAGTAGATTTATTTAAGTTTTATTTGTCTATGAGATATACCTTTATTTATGGCAACGTTAATTTCCTCATATTGTTTACTGATCTAAAATTCGCATACAACCTGTTATTCATCCCGTGATATTCGTAACGGTTCTGAGCACGGAAGGGAAGCGTTAAAGGGCACCACATAAAAGAGTTTCGAGGGTAGTAGTTTTTAAAACAAAGTCCGATTCCTTCCATTATACTTATTCTTTCTTCATTAATTGTCGTTAAAATGACAGAATGTTTTCTCATAAGACCAGCTGCGTATACAAGGCTTATGATCGAGTCACGATATGTTTTTGAATATTCGAATTTGGTGATAAAAGAGCTTTCAAAATTACTTGATCAAAGAAATCTATGGATAACCTTCTGAGGACTACAATTTTGCACTCGATAGACATTTTTAATTCATGCACATAACGAAGATATTTTCTCTAGTTCAGTACCGTGCACAAATTTACCATCTATTTTCTACATGTATAATATCAAAAAGACTGGATGATATAGTGAAATCAAATACCAAGTTAGAGCGTAGTAGTTTTTAAAACAACGTCCTATTCCTATTATTTTTGTTTTCAGAACTTTAATGATATAATTAATTTTTTGACCATCAGATGGAATTCAAGCGCGGAAATAATCCTTGCAGTGGTGAGCTGTCATACAAATCTTCAAAATTACTTGCTCAAAGAAATTTATGGATAACCCTTTGAGGGCTACAATTTTGTACTCGGTAAACAGTCTTAACTGATGCAGATAACAGACTGATACACAGCTAGTCTTATCAACCATGTTAGAGTCTTGGCTCTATTTCTTATTATAAGTTTCTTCTGTCATAATTTGCAAACTTGCTCTCCGGCAAACGATTGGTCTCAAACGATAAATCTATATGTGAAAATAGTGATAATCAACTCATTTTCTAAGAATTGACTTCAAAATATTTAAATAGATGAAAACAAAGTCGACTTATTTTTGTTATGAGCAAATCGAGTCCGTGGCTCCTGTTACAATCCATAAACACTTAACCGTGTATCTAAGCCAAAGTGACACATCTCATTCAGTTTTGAAAAAACAGCAAAATCGTCAGCGCATTCTGCTTGAAAAGAATAGTCTCCACTGCTTCATTATAGGTGTGTGCATTCGGCATGTGATATTCCTGTGATATATTTTATTACTAAACTAATGTTTTACCTTTTAGTTGTTCTTAAGATAACTTGAATATAAAAGTGAGAAGTGACTCTTTATGGTTTTCCTCACTCTTCTATATTAAATGGTATATCCTCTTCTCTCTTTTCACAAACATGATTGTTAAATAGCTTTGGAAGAAACATGTAAACGTCGAAATGGGTCGAAACCTATGTAAGGCAAATTGTTTGTCTGATTGTCTGCTTTACTGCTTGTCTCATATCTTTGATCTTCCAATGGTAAAGAAACGGGTTTAAAGTGGAGTTGAGAAAAACTAAAACATTCGCCATCATGGCGAATGATTATTATGATTATGATAAATTAGATAATCGGTTTAAACTCAAAGATATTCACAATTTGCGCTGTTAAGTTTGCTACATAACAAACAGATAAGGCTAACTGTAACCAAAGTGCACTGCATATATTTTATGCAAACTTAGGACGCCGTGAATTATCTTAGTTTCGTTGTAAACAGTATGGGTAATTCCCAGTTATAACAAAATCAAGCGGCCGGCTATTTTCAAAGCTCGTTATCACTAAACCATATTTCTGAGCAA